TTGATATCTCCTGCAAACCGAATACGGTTTCATGGTCTTTCCTTAAAATCGATTTCTACACTCAATGGATACAATAGTTTTCTTTTTAACGGGTACCATGGGCCTGAGTAGGTTTTTTTGTTGTTGAATAGTAATGTTTCCTCACGGATATAGTAGGGTTTTTTTTTGTTCATGGATGCCATGGGTTTGATTTATTATGTTTTTTTTGTTCACTTGTAATGTTTCTTCTACATTGGTGCTTTGTAGTATTTATTTCTTTACATTGGATTAGTTTTCAGGTTTGTAGTATTCATTTCTTTACGTTTGTGCTTTATAGCAGACTAATAATTACTTTTTAATAGTATGAAATGATAAAAAAAAAATTAGACACCGGGTACCCGGTACCGTAACTGGCTATTTCGGGACCAATTCCCGAATAAAGAACCGACGTAAACGGTTCTGATTCCTTAATTCTAGAAACCGCCTGTTCTAGTTTCGAGACTAGTTCCATGAATTTTGTTGGGTATCCGCCTGTGCTCATTCCTAGTTGCAACGATAACGGTGGTGGAGGTTTGTTGCAACGATAATGGTAATGGAGGTAGAGACAATGGTGGAGGTAAAGGCGGTGGTTTGGTTGGTTAATTGACAACGTTGATTGTGGAAAATGTGAAGATGGTAGACAATGATGGTGGTGGCGATTGATAATGGTGGAGGAGGTAGTTGTCGCCGACGTGTTAAAAATATTGGTGGTGGTAGTGGTAGTGGTAGTGGTAATCGATGGTGGTGGTGTTGGTTATGGCGGAGGTGGCTGACGGTGGTGGTGTTGGTTAGGGTGGAGGCGATTTCTTCATCTCATACTTATGGGTAGAATGAGAAAGTAGATATTTATTTTGAGTTTAAAACTTATTTTAAGACAAACTAAAATAATAATATAGACACTTGTTTTAGAATTAAGCGAGTAATAAAATAACTACAGACCATTTCCAACCAAAAAGTGCTAAACCTCCTTAAAAGCATTAATTTTCTTCATTTTGATAAATATGTGCACTTAAAAACTTAAACTTCATTTTTTAATATGTTATTAGAACTTCTATAATAATAAGTATATTCACATGTGATTATATCCATACTAATAAATTTATTATATCATAAAACATTTACAACATAATAGTTTATATTACAATAAATTTATCTATACTATATTATAAAGTATTTGACAAAAATTCTTAAAAACCATTTTTTATGCATGAAGTACTGTTTATTAATGCATATTACTTAAAATTCAAGATTACAAGTAATTTTACGTAAGTACAACTTATTAAAGCTCTATTTTTAAATTCGTGTAACTAACTGCAGATAACCATACACAAATACAAGATAAACATTTATTTTAAAAATAAAAAATCTAAAATATAATTAAGATAATTATTGATATCTAACAGAATGTTGAATTATTATCTTTATAAAAAAATATATTATTAAACAAAAAAAAATTACTTTGTTATTAGACCTAAATTAAATTATAATAAAAAATTCAATTAAAAAAGTTGCACAAAAAAAATGAGAACTATTGAATAGTTAATTTGATATTAATATCGATTTTATTTTTTCCAAAAATTTATGTTATCTTCAAATTTATATAAAAACTAAACAAAAACTATTAAATAGTTGATTTGATACTAATATTGATTTTTTTTTTTTTCAAAATTTCATTCTATCTTCAAATTTATATAAAAACTAAACAAAAACTATTAAATAGTTGATTTGATACTAATATTGATTTTTTTTTTTTTCAAAATTTCATTCTATCTTCAAATTTATATAAAAACTAAACATTAAAATTAAGATTTATCTTGCTGAATTGTGCGAGTATCTTCTAGTTGTATTATAAAACATTTACAACATAATAATTTATATGTACAACTTCTTAAAAATCCATTAACAATATAACTACGATCTTATACTTGTCACAAAAACCACGAAGACAATACATGCTCGTCAAAACATCACCTCTTATCACTTTGTAGAAAGATGAACAAAGTTTGTGTGACTGCTGATTGACTACGTGTTCTGGAATCTAGGAAGAAAAATATATAAATGTATGAGAAAAAAAAATACCCTTTTGTTTTATTCAATAGTTTGAAATTGATGGGTAGTTTTGTAATTCAAGGTGCTTTTGATGCATAACGGTACAGTTGGCAATAGATAAGGGTATACCCGTTATTCGTTATGTTTTAAACCGTTGGATAAATGTACATGTAATCTTTTTTTATCCATTCATCCATTACTAACTTGCCCAAACATCTTAGTAGATGCGATACGGGTAGACGTTTTTTTCGTTATCCATTACCTGTTAAGATATATAATATATATTATATTATAAAACATTTGACAAAAAGCTCTTAAAAATCATTTTTTATGCATTAAGTAATGTTTATTGATGCATATTACTTAAAATTCAAGATTACAAGTAAATTGTGCGTAAGTACAACTTATTAAAACTTCATGTTTTGAATTCGTGTAAATAACTGTAGATAAACAAAAAATATAATTAGAATACTCATTAAATTATAATAAAATACTTAATTATTATATTTATAAAAAAAATATTATTAAACAAAAAATAAAAAATTTAAGTAGTTAGTTTGGTACTAATATCAATATATATATTTTTTTAATTCTTTATGATAGCTTCATATTTATATCTTATTTAAAAATAAAAACATTATCGTTTTTTCAAAACCATATAAAATCGTATTATAACATCGACTGAGACAAAAAAAAAAAAACACAAAACATTAAAATCGAGATGTATTTCGCTGCATTATACGAATACCTTTCTAATAATAATAAACTAGTTGTGCACCCGCGCAATGCGACCGGAGCCATGAATTTTAACGATTTTGAAGTTCTACTGGTTTTATAAGATAAGATTTAACGATGACATATGTTACACTTGGTTTTTACATATTAATACAATTTGAATAAATAAGAGTTATAGTTCCAATTACAGACTATCGATAAAAAAAATTGTATAATAGTTTAAAATCCAATATATTTAAAATCCAACATATTTAAACGACTCCACAAATGTGTTCGATTTACACCAAGAGCAAAGAACCAAGAAACTTGAGTTTTAAGGTAAATACTCAAAACCAACAAAGAAAACTACAAATTTGATAGATCATAAGCCATGAAAAGACAAAAAAAGATGAGTTTTAGAATGAAATTTCAACTGTTTACCTTCTTTCTTGTCCAAAAACTCAGATTAAGGTTAAATTAATATATGTATATATATATTTCAAAAAAACCCAAAAACATATTAATTCAGAATATATTATACAGTGCAATTTGGATAGCTTAACCCCAAAATATATAGTATATATATAAATAAATAACTATAAAAGTATAAATCGTAAATATTAAAAATATTTTTCACAGTATATATATATATATATATATATATATATAATATAATTAAGTCCAAAACTATTCAATATTGGATCATTTCGAAGGTATTAACAAGACGATTATAATGGTGTAACTTGTTAAAATAAAAATGTATTTTTAAACATGTTTTAATTGATATACGAGTATGTATGTTAATTTGATAAATGTTTAAAATGAAACATTTAAAAGTAAAGAACGTAAATTAATTAATTAACTAATTATAGGGGTATAAAATATAAATTTTTAAAAAAAAGTAGTACCTTATGCATGTTAAGGTGTTTTTAAGACTTTAGGCAAATTTGATTTATAAAGTAGTATAGATATTCTTGATAACTAAAGTCTTAAAAACACATTAACATGCATAAGGTACTACCCTTTAATGTAGAAAGCCTTTAAAGTGTTAAAAATGTACAACTTTTTATGCATTTTCAATTTAAGGTACTACCCATTCATGCATAAACACCTCTGCCTCTGAACCCTAATCACGTGAAGATGCTCTCCTATCGCACCTTCGCACGCTCTCCTGCTCTCCTATCGCACGCTTGCACGCACGCCGATTCAGTCTCCAAGAAAGCACGCTCTACTCAGGCGACAAGACAATGCGGCCGTTTAGAAAATCGATTCCTCGAATACACTCCATCCCTCCCAAAGTGACGATTCAAACTCTATTGATGTCCATGATTTAAAATCAGATTATGATTCAAGGCTCAATCGCTCCTCGATCCAGGTAATCGATTCAAACTCTTATTATGTAAATGGTTAGGGTTCATTCCATCCCAAGTACGTTTTGTTGTTACTATGGTTCCTGTTTTATTTTCATTGCTAGATTGTGTTTTTAGATGCGTTTGTTTGTGAATTTGTATGATTTCTTCTGTGTTTTGAAATAAATGCAGATGAATTTTGACAATTTTGTGGTGTTTAGGGCAATGAAGTGAAGGATTTGGGACCTTGCTTTTGCTTGATTTTGTGAATTTCGTTTGCTAACTTAGGGATTTTATTCTCATTGTAGTTGAAAAGGGTGAAATTAGCCTGGGAGTGTTGATTGTGTCAGAAATGTTAGCTGTGCAGGCAGAGCTCTCAAAGACAAAGCATGGCCCTCATTTCTTGAGGACATTTGATGTTGAGGGGCAAGTTCTTTTTCTTTACTGGTTTCACTTTTCTAAATTTATTCTACATTGCTGAAGTTAAAGATTCTCATTTGATAGCATAAATGTTGATGTTTTAACTTCAATGCTTTTTCCTCTGAAAACAAACACTTCTATACATGTACTTTAAGAAGGGGGGGTAATAAATCAGTTTGCTTTGTGAATTTTGTTTTGGATAGCTGAGTACATGTTTCCTCACCTTAGCTGAGTACATGTTTTCTCTCCTTTCATCTATAAAAAACCCTCCCAAACAAAAACCTTCTTAACCATATAGACATATTAATCCACACTGACAACTTTATCCATATAGGACTTAATGAAAACCTACCAAACAGCCCCTTAGGGTTACTATGATTGGTTGCTTGAAGTGTGTGCTCGGACAGTATTAGAATGCAAATTTTGTTGATCATCTTTTTTCTTTTGCAGCACTGAAATGTGGTATTGGCAAGGTGAAGATTACGGTTTGCAAGCAAGTAAGCATCCACATACAATTCTTTATCTTTCATAACATGATACATGTACTGTTAGCATTATCAGATTGTTGGTAAGCTATTTACATTTGTTAATCTTGATCTGTTAAAATCATTGTATGCAGATGCTCCAAATAGCCTATGGAGCAATTTAAACGATAATCAAGATGATCTTTCTTACGTATTTAATGAAACAACCCTAGCAAAGTCCTTTGGGGATTTGGCTTATCAAGTTACCGACAATGGTAATCCATATCTCTAAAAGAAACAGCATACATATTTTTTTCAAGGAATAATTTCTTTTTGATAGAGAAATTTTTTTGATAGATTTCACAAATAGCCATTTCACCGACCAAATTTACCTTTTAGTCATTTCTCTTCCACGTGTTCAAAAAAGTCACCACCTCCGCAAGTAATCAGTCCTCAACTTGTACAGGGAACTTTATGCGTACTGTATGGTCTTTGGTGTTTTATGCATGATTATTTGTCATCTTTAGAACACTAATTAAACTTTTTCTGATGTTTTTAGGATGTTAATATGAAGATTATATCCTTCACTCAGCAAGGGGCAAGAGCTATCTGCATTCTTGCTGCAAACGGTGCAATTTCTAATGTTACACTTGGTCAACCTAATTCTTCTGGAGGTGCTCAACGCGTCACAGTTCGAGGTTTCTTGCTGATCAAATAAGTGGTGTATTAGCTGACTTAGGAAATCATTAGACTTATTTATTGTTGTTAGAAGACATCAAATCTTTTTGGTGTTGTTTTAAATCTTAACCTTAGGTGTTGAAGAGTTGGCATAAATTTAATGGAAAATGGATGTTAATTTGAGGATTTCATTATTCTTTATATGGTTTGTATGCTATGAATCCATTTTCTTGAAATTTTATACCATGTCACGCCAAACGCGGGTCGGTTGGTTTTTGTTCGGTCTCATGTTGGGGTAATTAGTTTTGTTCTGTCTCATATATCAAACGCATCCTTAAAACCATTATAGTGGTTTCGGCCAGAGTTTTGTTTCTTCACACCTTTTCTTCCTCGAAACTCGTATTTCGAATCCTTAAAACTCATTGCTTGTTCCGTATTACCTTCTCATCTTCTGCTTAACCTTCTCTTCTTGTTTTTCAGCTTGCGCTTCTTGTTCTCTCTTGCCTTTCTTCTCCAAAATCTCTCTCTTTTCTACAAGAAAGCAAGTCATTGACATCTATCTATTGATCTTGATTGATATCGATCGAAAATTGGTGAATCCATTCTACATCTTTAGGAAAACTGATATTGCCAAGTTTATCAAGCATGACGTCCTTGGATTTTAAACTGTCATACAATTTTTTTCATCGATAGTCTGTAATTGGAACCATAACTTTTATTTATTCAAATTGTATTAATATATAAAGACCAAGTGTAATCTATATCATCGTTAAATCTTATGTTATAAAACCAGTGGAACTTCAAAATCATTAAAATTCATGGCTCCCGCCGCATTGCGCAGGTACACAATTAATTATTTATAATTTAAAAAGATTTTTTTAATCATTTATCTATTACCTCAAATAAAGTATATATGGATGACTTTTATAATACGAATTAGCTCCATGATGCGTACACGAGTAGTGAACTGGTACAAAATTTCCCAAAATTTAAAAACCTAAATAAAGGCGCCGGATGTGGATCCCTAATCATGCCACCACGGTTCTCCCGCCATACCACACAGCTATTCCATTTCAAATTGCTCTCTTCCGCCACCGCCACCGCCACACGCCCACGACCACCACCGTCACTATACTCTTGCTTGTCCAGTCCACAGATGGTAGCTTCTTACATCTATTTCCATTTAAATTCGTACATATGAATCTATCTTCTTTGTGTACTAGCTTCTTTATTTCTGTCTAGATGTGTATAAATTTATTCCTGATGGAGATTTTATTTTGTAAGTGTTAATGTTTCTATGTGCTGGCAAATTTTTTGTTGGGGAAATCGGGTTTTGTGAGAAAACACAGTAATAACACTGGTAAAGAGAACTAAAACCGCCTAAGACTTTTGTTTTCTTTAAAACATTATTTCAACCCTAATCTGTCTAAGGTATCACGGAATTCACTCTGAGGATAATCTCAGATTTTGGATGAAAATTTTAAGATAAATCATAACGGTTCGTACTTTAAAACCGAGAATGACTGCTGCGTCAAAGGGAAATGATTACCAGAAATTATGAGCATTTGTCAGACGGTTACGAAAGAGAATAGTTACGAACCTGTGGAGTCACCTACCGATCAACATCAGTGGGAAAGTCTATGAGCATCGGTGGGTGCACCCACCGACTGTTATCAGCGGGTGCTAAAAGTCATCAACTGATATTGATGCTGATCCACTGCCACTGCCACTGATGCAGTTTCTTAAGCACATCATTTCACTGCAAAGGGGATCTGTCCTTTGGAAACTCAGAAGGGGGCGCCCCTGACCCTGCCATATGGTGACATTAAGTGCTCCTGGGTTCAAGCTAGTTTATATGAGTGTACGCTCCACACCTACTAACCCATATCATAGCTTAACTATCAACCCCTTGCTTCTTTCATGAATCCAACACAAAACGGCCGACAATTTACTAAAATCACCAACAATTTTGTCAAATAGATATATATTTGACAACCAAGTTTCTCTTCAACATGGCTTTAAAAATAGTTTGAGGCGTACGCCTCAAGGCGAGTGGCCCAAAACCACACCTGAGGCGGCGTCTCTTAGATCATGGGACGAGGCTTACACCCTGGTTCAATGAGACATGAGGCGATGTCGAGGCTTATGTCTTAGATGATTTGCTTCGGTAATGGGTTTTTTTGGCTTTTTTATAAGCTTTATGGCGGTAGCAATACTTCTCTTTATAGTATCTTTTTTGTATTTAAAAAAACTAAAAGTCAAAGCCCAATGGCCCCAATGTGTACTCTTAACAATTTAAAACCCACAAACCTAGTACTTTCTTCTCTTAATAAAAAAATGTGGTTTGACCTTTCCTCTTTTTCCAAGCAACTAGTTTTTCCACATCCTCCTAACATATCTCATAGTTCCACTCTTTCCTTTGTCAAGAACCATTGAACCAACATCTTTTAGTAATTTAGTATTATATAGTATATAAATGTATATATTGTTGGAGTAATCTTAGAGTTTACCAAGTCATGTTTACTTGGTAAACAAGTTGTTAAATGAAGTCCCATTCTAAGGATTAGTCGATCTATTTTAGTTCATTTAGGAGTCTGTTAGTTTGCACGTTCTTTACTTTCCATGGTATTGTATGGCTATTTAAGCCCATCTAGTTGTTGGATAATAATAAGCACTTCATTCCATTTTGTTGTTCTTAAATGTTTGCTTAAGCTACATCAACATTTGGTATCAGAGCTCTAATCTAGGGACTCGACTTCGAATGTAAAGGCAGAAGAGAATAGAGTGAAAGAGACGCCCTCAGAGTGATGAATTCAGACGGCAACATCGGAACCTGTCTTCCCAAGTTCGAAGGGGATTATGAACACTGGAGTCTCTTGATGGAAAACCTCTTACGTTCCAAAGACTACCGGAACTTCATCAGATTGTCATTCCAGTTGACAATGAAACTCTACCTCTAGCCTAGAGGAAGGCCATTGAAGACTTGAAGATAAAAGATTTGAAGGCCAAGATTTATGTATCTGCTTCAATAGATAAATCAATCCTCAAGACTATTTGGAAGGGACACTGCCAAACAACTCTCGGATTTGATGAAGGTGAAGTACCAAGGGAAGGCAAGGGTCCAAAAGGCTCAACTGAAAGGCTAAGGAGGTCGTTCGAAATATTGGTGATGAAATAAGGTGCGTCAATACCGACTATTTTGGTAGGTTCATGGTAATTTCTAATGAGATGATGAATTTTAGTGAAGATATGACAGATGCGAAGATCGTAGAGAAAATTCTTCGCATCCTCACAGAGAAGTGGAATTAGATCGTAGAGAATTCTAATGAGATGATGAATTATGGTGAAGATATATCGTTTGCTCAATTGAGGAGCCAAAGGATATTGATACCTTGTCCGTTGATGCACTTTAAAGTTCTCTCCTAGTTCACGAGCAAAAGTTCACAAGAGATGAAGATGGTGAAAAAGAGCAGGCTTTGAAGATTTCACACGAGGAAAGACAAGGAATTCGAGGAAGACGGAGGATCTCACCAGGAGGTCGAGGGTCGAGGGTCGAGGTTGGGGCAGACAAAACTACTCACGACTCACAAGATACCGTGGAGTGTTATCAATGTCGCAGATTAGGGCACTACAGTTATGAATGCCCTGATTGGAATTGTCAAACAAACTATATGCTAAGGAGGAACAAAGATGCTTTTGATGTCCTATGCAGAGAAAAAAGAGAAGAAAAAGGAAGATGCATGGTTCCTCGACTCAGGTTGTTCAAACCATATGAGTGGTGATCAAAGATGGTTTTCAAAACCGGACAAGAGCTTTGTGAGCACTATGAAGCTAAGGTGGCGTTTGTTTTTCAAGAGGTGCTGAAGTTTGATTTTACTTCTGATTTATAAGAGGTGATGCTGAAGTATGAAATTTGAATCAGTCAGACTGTTTGTTTTTGTAAACTGACAAACGTCTGAAGTCTGAAATCTGAATCAATAAAACTGTTTGTTTTTCTAAACTGACAAACGTTTGAAATCTGAAATATAAATCAATTCATTTTAATTTAATTCAATTAAAATATCCAATCATTTAAACTATTTGTAAACTACCATTCAAAAATTCAACTGAAATACGTCAATTGATTCAGCACACAATAGAAAACACGAACAAAGTCTCATAACAACTTGAAGCAATATTTATTTTGCATACATTATATTGCAATTTTTTCTCTTAAACTAGCCATATATGTTTAGTCCGCATCACTCCCATGCGGTTGAACCTTTACAACCTCATCCTCGCCATCGTCCCCTTGCTCGTTGATTTGATCATACTCAGAAAATAACTCATCGCTTAAACTCTTCCCTCCGTATGAAGTTGTGAACCGCAAAGCATGTAATAACGTCTCTTTGAACCTCAAGTGTAAATGGTGCCATCCTTTTCAATATCGGAAAACGTGCTTTCAGGACATCGTAAGAACGTTCAATAACATTTCTAAGCTTTGCATGAGAATGATTAAACTTTTCATACTTGTTCATTGCTTGTCGACGACGAAAATCTCCGAGCCAATATCTAACATTATGATACGACGCCATAAATCCTCGAGTATTTGTATACATAGATAATATTTATCTAAAAAACAATAAATAACATAGTTATTAACATGAATATAGTAGATATATTACCTCTAAAATCATTAGTATACGTGAAGGAGGAAATGGAAATCCAATAGCACCATCTGTTAAAGCTTAGGACAGAACTCTAGAATCATGTGCAATTCCTTCCCATTCGACAACAACAAATGTAAAAACCATGTTGAAGTCACAAATTGCCAAAACATTTTGATAATATTCACCTTTTTCTCGTCGTCTATATAAATGTTGTTCTAAATAGAGATGATAACATGTATTAGAGTTCCATCAATGGCACCAATTGCTCCCTATATTAAAGCTAGTAGTCAAAATAAATTTAGTAAGAAATTTATACAACTATTATTGAATTATTATTTACCTTAAATATTCGTYGTAACCTTCTATTATTCCCAAGGGATGTCTGGATTAAGATTGAATGATGTAGGAACCATGATCTCTTTAGCAAACTCGATCATTTTATCCAACACTTCATGAATTTTTTTATGAATTGTTTGTGTTGAGTGTTGGAACCGGTTTTTAACACTCTATAACACGTTGATTGTGACCTATAATCATTAGGAAGATAACCATCTTTTCTTCGACCAATATATGTTTTCTATCTGGTAACCAACTTTTTTCTTTAAAGTGATCACATAGTCGAACGAGAGCTTCACGGGACGTTTTCAACAACTTAATACATTGCCGATCATTACCTTCAAGTAATTCATCCTTAAATTGACGTCCAGTCATTGCAGACGTATTATCTTTTTTTCCTTTTCAAACGCCTTTGTCACAAGTAGAACATATACAAAAATATGACGATGAGAAGTATGGTTTTTTTTTATTATGCTCCATCATGATTTGATTATTATCCATGATAAACCTGTTAAAAACATAAATAAAATTTACCAAATAACAACTTGTTCAACTTTCAAAAAACTTGTTTAAATACAAAAACTATGTAACCAAATAATCAAATATCAAACACATAAGCAAATAACATGTTCAAATGAAGTAACTTGCTCAAATTCCAAATAACATGTTAAAATACAAAGTAACTTGTTCAAATGTCCAAAAAACTACTCTATGAGTCCCAATCTTCTTCCCGTCCTTGAAATCCATGAAGTTAATATATCAGCGTCTGAAGGGGTCGTCAAACATGTCTCTCTTAATAATGTTGCCAAAAATGTCAATGGATGCACTATAAAGAGGACTCCGTGTATCAAGACCAAGAGTATTCAACCGTTCAATACAAGCATTTAGGTTTGAGTTGTGTTGTGCAACAAGTGTGGTTTGTTGTGCCAAGTGTCTGAAGTGCAACCTTCATTTCCAAAGCCAATTCATCCATGTCAACCTTGGTTTTACTCTTTTTATGCGGTCTAGACGAAGTTGCGCTTGATTTATCTACAATTGGTCCTTCCCCCTCATCTCTGTCCTCCTCATTTGGGGTAGTGTGCATATGAGATGTGAATTATGATGATGAAACCGTGGTCCTCTCACGGGTTGAACTAGGGCCATAAGCACGAGATTTAGTAGCAGAAGTCCCCTCGAACAAAGCTATACATAATTCAGGAAACTGGTCTCAGTCTGCTTGCTTGTTTAGATAACAATGTTTTGTTTGAATTTTGTTGAAACTGGTCTCAGTCTGCTTGCTCAATCAAGTGTTCCTCAACATTTCTGGCATTACGTCTTCGATACCGCTGTATACCTAATCAATCGCATGCCTTCGCGAACCTCAACAAACAAATCACCGTTCAAACATCTCTTGAAACATTCTTCCATTTACTCCTTTCTACGGGTGTTCGGTTATCAATGCTTTCCTCATCTTTGACGGTGCAACCATCACAAAATTGACTTTCTGTCGACCCTTGCATCTTTCTTGGCTATAGTCCTTTCCATTATGGCTACCGTTGCCTTGACCTGTCGACCGAGTGTTTATACATTGCTTGTCATGTTCACTTCAATGAAGACCACTTCCCCTTTGCTATTCCTACTGTCCCGACTTCCTCACTTACATTATCATGTCTCTACACCTCCTCGATATCACCTCAGACAAGTTGATGTTCAAAATGCTTTTCTTCATGGCCAGCTTACTGAAACAATATATAGGAAGCAACCTCCAGGCTTTATTGACCCACAACGATTAGATCATGTTTGTCTACCCTACAAGTCCATTTACGGCCTCAAGTAGGCCCCACGGGCTTGGTTTCACCGCCTTTTCAAGACTCTTCATACCCTTGGCTTTGTTTTGTAGGCTTCAAGACTGATCCTTCATTGTTTATTTCCAGTCATGCTGGCACTCTTTTATACATCTTAGTGTATGTTGACGACATCATCATCACGGAAACAATAATGCTGCTATTGATGCTATCGTTCAACAGCCGGGCTCAACTTTTGTGATAAAGGATATAGGCCGTCTAAACCACTTCTTGGGTATTGAGATCGTCCCTCAAGGACCAGAAATCATCCTTTCTCAAAAGAGGTACATTTTTGTAGCTCTTACAACGAGCATGCCTCTCAGACTCTAAGCCCATGCCTTCCCCCATATGACCTCGTCCTGTTCGCTATCTTTAGCTGAGAGTCCTGCTTTTTCTGACCCAGTTAAATACATACATGACGTCGTTGCTCTTCAATATGTTGCTCTTTCTTGGCTAGATATCACTTTTGCAGTTAATAAAGTGTGTCGGTTCATGCATTCCTCTACTGAATCACATTGGTTTGCGGTCAAACGGATTCTAGGCTATCTTCGGGGCACTGCTGGCTGTGGCTTACTCATTCGTCAGACATCTACTTTATCTTTCCAAGCTTTCTCCAATGCTGATCAGTCTCTCCAAGCCTTCTCCAGGCTGGGTGTCTAGATGATCGTCGGTCCATGGGGGGATTTGCCATCTATTTGGGTTCTAACCTTGTATCTTGGACCGCTCGCAAACAATGTACTGTTTTTCGATCCCACTGAGTCGGAGTACAAAGCTCTGGCTGATATTGTAATTGAACTTACCTGGCTTCAAGCTCTCCTTCGTGCACTTGACGTTTGCGCCCCATCAACTCCTATCGTGTGGTGTGACAATCTAGGTGCAACCTATCAGCCAACCTGGTCTTTCATGCACGAACAAAACATGTGAAATTTGATTTTCATTTTGTCAGAGAAAAGGTTGCTCAAGGAGACCTTCGTGTACAATTCATTTCCACAAAAGAGCAGATTGCTGATATTTAAAGAAGCTGTTGCCGACTCTTAGATTTCTATTCTTAGGATCCAAGCTACAGGTCGTTACCCGTCCTTAACTTGTGGGGGCGTATTAGACTGAATGTACTTAAGTGTAATTAGTATAATGTAGAGAGCAATCCTATGCAATTAGTATCTCTATATATAGAGACCGATTGTAATTAGGTTATACATCAAATCAATACACAAAACCGTTTTGGTTTATCTCGTTAGTTGCCCAACGTGACTGGAAAGTTTTTCAGATGAATGTAAAGTCCACATTCTTGCATAGAGAACTTAAAGAAGATGCCTACTTTGATCAACCGGAGGGGTTCGGAGTTCCATGATCAGAAGGGAAAGTATACAAGTTGCATAAGGCTCTTTATGGGTTAAAGCAAGCACCACGTGCTTGGTTTAGCTAGATGGAAGCATACTTCATTGTTGAAGGGTTCAAGAAGTGTCCAAATGAGCAAAATTTTATTCATGAAGAGAAACAAAAAAGGTAACATGCTTATCGTTGGCGTCTATGTTGATGATCTAATTTATACTGGAGATAGTATTGAACAACTAAAAGAATTTAAGTTGTCAATGATGAAGTGTTTTGAGATGACTGATATGGGAGAAAGGAAGTACTTCCTCAATATGGAAGTCTAACAAGGTACTCGAGGAAATTTTATATGTCAAAAGCGGTATGTGTCTCAAGTACTAAAACGTTATGGTATGATGGAAAGTCATCTAGTAACAACTACTGTTGTGTTACTGGTTGTAAGTTGAACAAGGATAAGGACGGTGTAGTGGTATGCGAGTTACAATACGAGCAGATTGTAGGAAGCTTGGTCTATCTTACAACCATTCGACTAGACCTCATGTACAGTGGTCAACAGATATATGAGCAGACCTACAGAGTACAAAGCTTCATCTTAAGCAGTCAAAAAAATTCTCAGGTATTTAAAAGGAATGATGGATCATGGGATTTTGTATAAGAAGACAAAGCTGGTTGGGTTCACCGACTCAGATTATATCAGAGATACAATGATAGAAGGAGCACCTCTGTTTACATGTTTATGCTGTGTGACGGAGTGGTGTCATGGTTGTCAAAACAACCAACTGTTACTTCATCCACTAAAGAGGTCGAGTTCGTTGCTACCGCAGGATGTGCAAGTCAAGCGGTTTGGCTTAGAAGAGTTACCTAGGAACTGGGATGCTCTCACGGTGAAGGAACAATTATGTATTGTGACAATGATTCGACTGTAAAGCAATCTAAAATTCCAGTTTTACATGGCAAAAGTAGACACATCGATGAACGGTTCCATTTTGTTAGAGAATTGGTTCAGAATGGGACAATCAATATGGTCTATAGTGATACCAAAACTCAAGTTGCAGATATGATGACCGAGCCACTGTAGGTGGATGCTTTTGTCAAATTTTGGGAGCTGCTGCGATTCAAAAGGCAGAGTCCTAGTTAAGCTAATCTGTTTATTTCACAGTTAGCTTATGGGAGGGATCATTGGAGTAATCTTAGAGTTTACCAAGTCATGTTTTCTTGGTAAATGGGCTGTTAAATGAAGTCCTATTCTTTAGCATTAAATCATTAATCGATCTATTTCAGTTTATTTAGGAGTCTGTTAGTTTGCACGTTCTTTACTTTCCGTTGTATGGTATAGCTATTTAAGCCAATCTAGTTGCTGGATAATAATAAGTCAGTTCATTCCATTTTGTTGTTCTTAATTGTTTGCTGAAGCTAGATCAACATATATATATATATATATATATATTTGTGTAGTATATATACATGTTTTAGTGTACATATATTTCCGTCTCGGGGCTTACGCCTTGGACTGCCCAGAGGCTTATGCCTCGAGACCTGATTCTGCCTCTTCACTGATTATGTGAAATGGACAAGGATTTTAAGCCTCATCATTTGTGGCTTCTCAACTTTGTGCAGAATTATTTTATAGTTGTCGGTCAGCACTTTCAGTGTTTTGCGTTTAAAATCCGATTTTAGAAGACACAATTATCGTTCTTATGCGTGCACGACTTGCATTTGCATAAAACTGCAAGGGGAAGTGAAACCAAAGTTTGTTAAGCTTTATTCTGTTAATTGGGTGCTCGCTTTAATATTCTTTTTGCAAATTGCTTCTAGACATTCCATTTTTCTTTTTCAACTTAATAAATCATCATTTGAGGGGGATTAAGCATGATAACAGGCCATGACTCATCTTGGAAGTAGATGTCATGTTCATCAGTTTATAACCAGATGTCCTCCATGGCAGGAAAACCAACTTTTCTATTTTAGTTCTTGATGTCAAATTTTTCTTGATGTTCCATGACTGATGCTACATCATAAAATAAAACTATAGGCGGCCTCTAAATCTGTAATTGACAGGTTTTTTGTTTTGGGGAGTTTATCAGTGGACATAAACTGTTCTGCTTGTACATACCACTTTTGTGCTTGCTATTCCTGTTGTGAGTTGATGTTTCAAATTGGCATTAAGTGTTATCTATGTTGCTTCTGGATGTGATTTACAAACAGGGAGAAGTTACTAGCAAACTCGTTGCTAGATGAACTCATCGATAAGTGATCTAGGCTAACCACATGAGGTATGAAAAGTAACTCTAGTTTCTTTTTCCTCTTTGTTTTTAGCTTGAAGATAAACTTTAATGTTTGCTTGCTCATGGTTGATATTCTGTAGAAACAACTGTAGTGGGCGTTCTAGAGGCGCTGACAAGCCAATCAGAAATAACTGGTCTCAACATGCCAAGTCACATGATAATGTTTTGAGCGAAGATAAAAACTTCCTTTTCTCCTTGTCAAGACAAAAACCTTCTGCTGAACAAGCAATGACTGCAACTGCAAGGCATGTTGTTTTGCCCTGATTTACATTTATTTGTCTCGGATGTAGTTTGGTCTCTCTGGGGGCTCTGGTCTATATGAAGTATAATGGTCTACCAATGCTTGCTTGTAGAAGTTAGTCTTTGGGCTTTGTTACGTACTTACGTAGATTTGCAGTTAATTCTCTCCTGCAGGGATCTTTATACTATTAGTTTTGCTTCAGTTCTCTTTAAGCTTCAGAAGGTTGCAATTAACTATTGATAGTTTAGCATGTTGAGCCTCTTGTCTATTATACTACTCTTCACTAACCTATACATTATTCTTGCCAGTTTACAACTACAGTTCGTGCTAAATTCATATTATAACTTAAGTGTCAGATTCACTCTTCTTTTGCTGTATCTTGAGCTCTTTAAAGGCTTAATTTATGAATTTGAGTTTTTAGTGCACATATTTGAACAATTTGTTTTATTTTACTTTATGCACTTCTTTATTCTTGTATATAACCAGGAAAGTCTTCAACCTCTGAGAATAGTTAAGAGGAACATAACGGTCTTTATGAAATGAGTCATTATGTTCTTTGCCCTTGGGGACTTAAGTAGACTGACATGCAGGACATGGTCATTTAGTCTCTGTTCATCAGGAAGGGAATGACAGCTTTTCCTTCCAGAGAAGCTCCAGAATTCCAATATTTTTGAAGAAGAAATTTTAGAAAGCAACTGGATTGTTTTACCCTTCAAACACGATTGTGGACTTCTTACATAGCACACCTTAACATGTCTCTCTTATTCTTATAGTATTCATTCATTCAATTATAGTAGTTACACTTATTATAGTAGATGCCAAATCCCAAAACCACACTGTGAATGCTGTTTTATAAACTTCAAATTTGGTTGTCAACTTGTCATGATCCTTCATCTCTGTGGATCATCTATTTCGGGATAGTGGGTGTATACTCTCTAAAACATTTCAATGTTATGTCTTTAAAAATGGCTAGGCTACAGAAATACTAAAAGAAGCTATTCTGTAATTTTTTTTTTCTGTAAGTGATATCAAGCTTGAAATGTTATTTTTCTTTGTTCCAGATTATTCTCTTGTAATGTTCAGAATGTTACAAAGGCACACAGTCTACAGGTTGACAAGGTAACACATGTTTCAAAACCGTATTATCAGTTCAGTGGTACTACACTTTATGTTCATTGGTTTGGTACTGGAATGGCTTCCTCTTGATAAATATATATGATTTATATTTGCCCACTTTTAATTTGGCAAAAACTTGTACGAAAAAAAGAAAGAATAGCAACTACATCAACAACCTTGATTCCTGACGTGAACGGCCGCTTTCTTGGAACTAATTCATAGGCGCTTGAAATTCGTTATAGAACTAAATTTTTTGAGAATCCCGATTACATTACCGCAGGAGCAAGTCATTACTTACTGTTTACACACACTTTCTACTCTTTCTATCAGTCGTGTTTTTTATTTTCTCTCTGACCACCAAAACTTTCACGGCATGAAGACTGAAGCTCCCCATTTTTTCATCGGGGTGAATTCTAAGGTTCCTGGAGTTCCATTCCTCTTCAAATGCTTTATACTTGCTATTGTCATGAAAGGATTGTTATTGGGAGAACAGTTACCCAGAGTCTTATACTGGCCCTTTTTAGCTTGCATTATTTGATCTTTTACTCTTTGAAAAACAGTAGTTGTTCCAACTGTTTCTGTATATTTGCTTATAAACTGAACTTTCTAAATATATAAGCTTTTGACAGGCTTGGCAAGCACTTTCCAACCTCAAGTTGTCTTCTAGAAATTACATAAAACCTGGTAAAAGCCGGCCAATAGCTAAAGATGGTGATACAGCCTCTTTTCGAGATGTTGAAAGAGCCACCCAACAATGTTCTTCTGAAGCAAATAACAAATCTACACGATCTACTTGGGGAGACCAACATTCTAATGAAATTAATATTATGCATAGCAAGCCCAGGCGAATGACCGATCTGTTTGCATCAGTTACCACTTCTGTCACTGAAGCTGGAAGGGCTGAAACAATGCAGAGTGGGGGTTATGTATTGAATTCCACGAATGTTTGTGGAAGGGATGAAGGTGGCATACACAAGAATCATGCCAAAATTTCGAGCCACTTACATGGGCTTCAGGAGATTGATGCTGGTGGCATTGATGATGAGGATATTCTTCAGGTAATTCAGGGTAGTAGTAAGACTTGGTGCGATTGCTGATATACTCCTAAATTTGTAAAGTTGGACATGTCTAGCATTTGGAACTTGATGGGTTGTAAGTCTACCTAGTCTGTTCAGTTCACGCTTATATAGACCAATTTTGTACGAATGTTAAGGAAAATGGACCTTGAGTTTTTATCTAACTGTTATGTGTGTAGCAGTATCTAATCAACTTCAAATTGCAGAATCTTGACATGGATCAGATTACAGAACACTTCCAATCATCTTGCACACCACGGCCATCTATCTCAAAGTTTCCACCATTCACCCCAGCTGCAAGTCATACTGTTGCAGCATGTGAGGATATAAGTTTGCCTCCCGAATTATGTGTGGACTGTAGTCATGGTTTTAAGGCAAGTAATCTAGAACATAATAGAAACCAATCTCACATTATTCTATGGCAGGTTCTATGTGTAACTTCTGAAATTGTTTCAGCTAGGGATTTGCCCTGAAGCTGCAGGCCATTTGCACGTTATGAAGGATCAGCTCATTTCCATATCAAATGATCTTCTTGACAATGTTGGTGAATTGAACTCAGATCAAATAGAAAAGCTTCGTCAAGATAGGTAATGTCTCTTCTATGTTGTTGGAATCATAATAAGATCTTACTTTTGGTACTTTGTTCCAGATCAATCAGAAGTCTAGATGTTTTAATTGCGTGATACAATGACTAAAGAATACTCTGCAGGTTGTCTATATATTTTCTATAAGAAACAAGAAAAGGGGAACAAAGTTACACATGTTTTCTTGGATTTTGGATCCATTATGTCTAATGAATGAATGAACTTGTTTTGAATTTTGTTTTTTACTCTTCTTTTTAGTGTTGACTGCTGAGACTATCAAGTCTGTAAACTGATACATGGTTGAATGCTTTAATCATAGACTGCAGTTGAATAAGCAAATTCAACAGCTTGAGAAATATCTTCATTATATATTGATGGATGAGGAAAGACACAATTCAAACTTTTCTGCATATACCACCACTAGAACTTTGCAGTATGGAACTCCTCCTACATTTACCTCCATGGTTGATCCTGTTAGACTCGATGATCAATTTTACATGTGTAACGAGACAAATGGGCACGATAGATGGGATTCATCATCAGTATCATGTTTCTCAGAAGGTAATGTCGATGATTCTTCAACTTCTATGGAGAGGGAACCACATGCCAAAAGGTATGTCGAAGTCAATTATTCAGAAGGTTCAGATGACAAGAAGTGGAGCAAGAGAGATTTTCCGTGGACCAAAAAACTGGAGGTTGGTGGCATTGTTACTGTTTGGTTTTCTCACATGGTTATTTTGTGGTGACAATGGTCCAACAATTCTGCTTTCAGGCTAATAACAAGAAAGTGTTCGGGAATCACTCCTTTCGTCCCAACCAAAGAGAGGTGATTAACGCGACAATGAGTGGGAAGGATGTTTTTGTCTTAATGCCAACTGGAGGCGGAAAGAGCCTGACTTATCAGGTACCATATACCATGTTCTACTGATTTCGGATGCTTGTATACATAGTTGTGTGTCAGCAGAGGCAATAGGATTTAAGACACCTATATTTCCAACTATCTTACATGTGATACTAATACTAGGGCCCTGCGGCATAAGGTGTTTGGCAAAAGGAAAACGTATCATTATCATTCCATAAATTCAGTGTTGGTTCTATATTAATTGTGGAATTGAGTCTGTTGATGCTAAGTTTTGCTTCTTACAGGCTACAGCATCAGACTTGCTCAAAGTTCACTTATCATTTTATACAGGATGTGTATGATTGTGTGATGAAGTTCTAGCCTGCCATCGAAGCAATTTTTTTGAATTTTTAACGCTGCTTGTTTATTAATTTCTCATAAATGTTAAAGACTGGTTAAAACTGAAGTGTACTTTTTATATTCAGCGTAGTGGGTTTGAACGTATTGTGCACCACTTTCTTGCAGCTACCTGCTCTTATTTGTCCAGGTGTGACGCTGGTTATTTCACCCCTTGTTTCTCTGATCCAAGATCAAATAATGCATTTATTGCAGGTAAGAATGGTTATTTCTTGCTTATGAATGTTTTCACATTCATCTGCATTGAATTTCTTGTAGCAAAAAATGCTGAATTGATTATTGGATAAACTATAGGCAAACATCCCTGCTGCTTACTTAAGTGCCAATATGGAGTGGAGTGAGCAACAAGAAATTCTCAGAGAGCTTTGCTCAGGGCATTGTAGTTACAAGCTGTTATATGTCACCCCGGAAAAAGTAGCAAAGTGAGTAGTTTTTTTATTTGTTGTAATTTCCGTTATGTAACTATGATAACATGCAGTGAGTGACCAGGTGACTAGAACTGGATTTAAGTAGAGGTGAGGGGAGAATATTTAGACAACCTAATTGAGACCAGTGAATGTTATATAGCAAAGTTTCTTGTTGATGAGACAACAGGAGGAACTGAAGATAAACTAGTGGCGAGGGAAGAATATTTAGACAACCTAATTGAGAAAACGTAAATGAGTTACCAACAAAAAATTTTAAAAATAACCAAAGGGTCGTTGGGCCAGCGGTACCTATGTTAGCGGTAGAGCATCCGAAGGTCTAGGGTTCAAACTGTGCATGAGTATTTGCTGTATAAATATTATATACTTCAAAAAATGTATAAAAGTAACTGAGGTGAATGAAGAAGGATATGAATGCAACTTTAATGTCCGGTATCGCAACAGAGTTTTACAGTCGTGCTCAAGCTTAATGCCCAATGGATTGATGGACTAACAAGAATAGTAACCTATATGAACATGTAGTTTCATGTGGTCAGTTGGTCACACTCACACGACATCCTTCAGTTGCAAGGAGAGTGCCATATAACACAAATACACTATAACAGCTACTCCACAAGCTGTATGGCGCAATTAGGAATGTTGAATGGATAAATAAAATAACAAAGGGTACAGAAACCGTGGTAGAAATGAAAATGTCAAAATATGAATGTGTAACAAAGTAACAAAGGGTTCCAACCTCACCAAAGGTAGGGAGTGTGTGTGAATTTGATTTGCGGTATAGAAAATACTATATACTTCAAAAAAGGTCGACACCCTTTGGCATGCTCAACTCTTGCAAATCTTTCTTCAATACATTGTCCATGTGAATGGTGAGATAGAAGATAAAAAATAAAAATGTGCCTAGAAAGATGTAATGTAAAGATCATAAATAGTGACATTGTTGTGCTTATTAAAATGATGATTTTTGACAACATCCTAGTATATGTTGCTAAATTCTTGATGACTTGATATGTGAGTGCAGAAGTAATGCTTTGTTGCGTCAATTGGAAAACTTGTATGCACGAGAATTGCTAGATAGAATTGTCATTGATGAAGCTCATTGCGTGAGCCAGTGGGGACATGATTTCAGACCAGATTATCAGGTGATGAGTTTGATGGTTTTGAACTAGTTATATCATGCATATTGGTTTGATCTTCGTGGTTTTTCTGGTGCTATGTACAGAGTCTTGGTATTTTGAAGCACAAGTTCCCAAATACACCAGTGTTGGCATTAACTGCTACTGCCACAGCCAGCGTAAAAGAAGATGTTGTGCAGGCTCTTGGTCTTGTTGACTGTGTTATTTTTCGTCAAAGTTTCAACCGACCTAATCTAAGGTATGAGTTGAATATAGATACAATGGGTTGCTTGATGTGTTGACCTTCTAAACTTGCCAATATTGCAGGTTTTCAGTTATTCCTAAGACAAAAAAATGTATGGAGGACATTGACAAGTTCATCAAGGATAATCATTTCGACGAATGTGGAATCATATATTGTCTTTCAAGGATGGACTGCGAAAAAGTTGCTGAAAAGTTGCAGGTTCATTCTTATGTTTTCTATCGTCCATCTCTTTGTTTTTTTTTTTGTTGATAAAATCACTTAGTGTGTTATGAATCTATTTCGATGTGTTTTACCTGCCAAAAGCTTGTAGACCAAGAGCCACCAGTTGACTTGCTTGGAAATTCCCTTGACTATCAGGACTTATTTACATGGTCCAGCTGGGCGGATCCTCGAATTGGTTTTTGACATTGTTTCGATCAAGTAGTTGATATTGTGTCCATATATGTGTGTAATTCTGTAAATATGAGTTTCTGAAATAGCAATTTTGGCCCATTAGAATGGATTCCGAGAGATCTTCACTTTAGGTCTCTTCCCAATTTTCACCTTTTCAAAGTGTAATTGTGCAAAGCAGCTATTGATAGTTACAAGATTTGTGGAACCACACATAAGTTAGAGGTTGCTTACTGTATATTTTGCTGCCAAACCATCCAAAAGCTGATGCTCTGAGAGGCATTGACAATATACATGCTTTATTTATGTGGTATTTTTACTCACACATGGAGTGCCAAAAAACTGCATAAATATCCTTGTACATTTCAACTAAAGCAAATATAGCGGATGAGCATTAACTATATGGACTGCAACTCGACGAAGCTTTTCTTTTAGTTACTTTTGGTTGAGTTTTTGACTCTAAGTCGTCTTCTCCTTCCAATTTTTTCAATAACTAACACAGACCATTGTGCCAAGGAATCAATTGTAGAGAACTTCGGTCCAGGGAATTAGGTGGATCAACAAATCATTTACTGACGTTTTTTGTAAGCAAATGAGATTTTGCTGACATTTCGTTGTTGACTATTTGCTCGATTATTCTCTTTTGGAGGCCATTCACATATAACAATGCAAAAAACTTGCATCCATCTCTCTCTCTCTCTCTCTCCAGTATAATGTAACAGAGTACTTGTGTTGTTCTTTAAGTTTTGAATGAGAAATTAATTGGTGGAACAAAAAGCAGTAAGAATTAGAAATATCTATTTACTTCATGTACATATTGTTATTTCTTGGGTTCTAAATTTAGGCTAATGAAAGAAAGAGATATCTACTACTTATTGCTTTCAAGGCGAGTGATCTCTATCCTTAAAGCAATTTCGCCCCCCACCGTATGTGCTTTGGGATTTTGACGAATCGCTTTTCAAGATACAATGAAGCAACGTATGTAGAATGATTACCAACACCGCACTAGTGGTGATAACCCCGGTTGAACTATTGAGTTTCAAGGATTTAAAGAAACTAAGTAATTGTGTTTCTATAGCAACACAACCCTTAGCGATCTGGTATACAAAAAGAGGAAAGTGTAAGCGATTTTTGGTGTCTATGAATAGGTATATATAGGCATAAGCGACAGCCCTTTGAACAGACAACATTCGCGACGGTTCGAACAGTCACAACTGTTTGAACGGGTGCCAACCGTGACTGTTTAACCCTTATGCGACGTTTCGAACAGTCGCAACCATTCCAACAGGTGCCATATTTGACACTTGAACCGTTGCATCCGTTCATCACACCCTTTGATGTGAACCGTCGCCTTTATTCACGAAGAGGTACCATTAGCGAACCGTTGTGTCTATTCACGAAGAGTCACTGTTTTAAGGCCAACCGTCACTAACGAATCGGTTGGAAGCAAAAGGATTTAGGCGGCTACAAGCGGCTTGCGGTGATGCGTGTGTGAAGTGCAAAGTGCGCCATATTGCGCCCACGCCCACGGTCGCGCGCGTAAGGGTGCTATGCACCCTTGTGGAAGCCCCATCATTTTCCAATATATTAAATTAATATATAGAAAATGCTTCCCCTTATAAACCCACTTGGATTTCACTCTTGCTCCTATGTGGGACAAGGTGAAACCCACCAAAATCATCTTTTCTCTTTTCCTAAAACCTAACCCAAAAGATTTTATTTTTATTTTGAAAATATTCCCAACACATATATTTATCTTTCAGGACTGCGGGCACAAAGCTGCATTTTACCATGGTAGTATGGACCCTGATCAACGTGCAAAAGTTCAAAAGCTGTGGAGTAAAGATGAGATTAATATAATATGTGCAACTGTGGCATTTGGAATGGGTATGGTCCAGTTTTCTAGTGCTAGTTAGATGATTAATTATATTCTCATATCATGATTCTTTCAGGTATTAATAAACCGGATGTTCGGTTTGTCATTCATCATTCTCTTCCTAAATCCATCGAGGGCTACCACCAGGTATTTTTTTGTGATCATATTGCCAGTTCTTGCTTTACGAATGTGAAGTGTTAAATTAGATATGATGTATGGAGTTAATTAGTTAGCTGCCTTTTGTGGAACACTGTGTTGCAGGAATGTGGCCGTGCGGGTAGAGATGGGCAACATGCTTCTTGTGTATTGTATTATAGTTATAGCGATTATGTAAGTCATTGACGAGCACATTGTCAAGTTGTGTTTAACAAACTTAGCTGTCAGTTACTTGGATTTGCAATATTTATTATTAATGCTCGCATACACTTGTTTTGAAGATCCGGGTCAAGCATATGCTTAGTCAGGGGTCAGTAGAGCAAAACTCTTTTGCATCTGGATACCGTTCAAGTACTATGAATTCTGGAAGGGTACTGGAAACTAACACGGAGAACCTTTTGGGCATGGTACTTGTGATATTTTCTCTCAACATTGATATTCACAGGCTGGCATTATTTATTATAATCTTAGAGTATAACCACTTCTTATTTCCCAACAGGTCAGTTACTGCGAAAATGATGTTGACTGTCGACGTTATCTACAGCTTGTTCATTTTGGAGAAAAATTTGATCCTGTCAACTGCAGGAAAACATGCGACAGTTGTTTTAAGAACCAAAGCCTCGTAAACAAGGATGTTACAGGGATAGCAAAGCATCTGGTTATGATCATATGCAAATTTCTTATCTGTTTCTTTTGGCTTTGCTACGTTGATAACATGGCATGTTCACTATGTATATGATCTGGTTAGCGGTCATGATGTAGGTTTGCTCATTTATTTTGTTAATTTTCAGGTTGAATTGGTGAAATCAGCCCAACAAAACTTCTCTGCATCTCATATCTTGGAAGTCTACAAGGGTTCCATGAGCCAAATTGTAATACTAGCTGAGCCAATTCATACTTTGGTTTTATCTATTTGTGATCTACAACTTGGTAACTTGACAAATACCAACGTGTAGGTCAAGAAGTACCAACACAATACCTTAAGCTTGCATGGAGCTGGACAGAATGTAGCAAAGGGAGACGCGTTACGTGTGATACGCCATCTTGTCATTGAGGAGATCCTTGTGGAGGATGTTAAGAAAAGTGATCTCTATGGATCTGTATCATCAATTCTAAAAGTGAGGTTTTCAATAGGCTAATTTCAAACTTTATACTTATGAACTAAAAGCAAGATGGAGCTCGATCCAGAGGGCCTTTGGTCTAGCGGTATCGTAGGCCTTGGCCTCCTAGGAGGGCCGGGGTTCAAACCTCACCAAAGGTGAGGAGAGTGTGTGAGTTTATTTGTTGCATTTGCCGTATATAAATATTATATACTTCAAAAAAAAAAGATGGAGCTCGATGGTAATTTGGTCTACAATGACTTGGTAGTCACAAAGTCAAACTTTAATTATCATCTTTGTTTTGATAACAAGGCTGCAATTCAACTGCTACCTACCCTTCGCTATGGATCCTTTTAAGATATTTTATATATATATATATATATATATATATAGAGAGAGAGAGAGAGAGAGAGGATGGAGGTTCAGGGGAAAACTCCCAAAAAATGAAAAAAACTGAGGAACACCCCGGTAATCTGGACTATATGCACATGCGCATACAAGTGAAGCTGTTTCTTGGTTTTTATGTGCATACATGACAAATTGCTTATACATTACTTGTATGCACATGCGTAACGTCCAGATGAACTATTACTAGGGTGTTCCTCCGTTTTTCATTTTTGTTGTTGTTTTCCTTAGCTTCAGTTGTATGTATATGTGCATACTGTCTAGATAAAAGGCTACCAGGGTGTTCTTCCGTTTTTCATTTTTTTGGAGGTTTTCTCCTGAACTCCTCCCCCCCTCTCTATCTCTATATATATATGTATATATTATTTCTCTTGTCTATTAATTGGTTTCATCAGCATAAAAGCTTTTGTTGTCAGTTTTAATGATGCCTAAACAATGCTGCTTTTGCTTGAATTTTCTTTAGGTAAATGAAAAGAAGGCCTACGATTTACTTGAAGGCCGACAAACCATAATTTTAAGGTACATTCAATTTTGTTTCCTACATACATTTTCTTCTGTCATGTTTTTGGGATTGATTTACTTGTGTATGTATCTGAGGATAAAAACACTATACGTGAAATTGTGTCAGATTTTGTTGCCGTTGAGACACTAGATCATATCATAATTCAATTTGGAAGGTCCAACTTTGAAATATGAGACTGAACTTCAAAACCTTCTACCTGTATTTAGCTTAGTAGGCTACACGTCTTATACTCCTCTGTAGGTTAGCATGGCCTTTCTCAAAATTGAATGCCTGATGTAACTGCTTTGTGACTTGTAGCTGTGGATGGTGTCCTACTGGCAATATACCATTTGGTGCACCGGACCTGTTTATCAACATAGGGGGTGGGGGAGAAACTGGTATCTGAACTAGAATCATGTACAATGTAGATGACATATCAGTTAATGTTATTGACCAATCTAAATATTAAGCAGGAAAGGGGATCATAAAATTGTAGTTTGAAGATCACCACCAGTTGAGCCCTTAATCATGTATAAAGAGAGAGCTTTGGTGTGTAAATATGCACAATTGCTCGGAGCCAATTTTGTCGTCATGTGAGATGATCTCATTTGAAATGTAAGGCTTTAGACAGTCTTTGAATGTTGTGATACGTAAATTATTACAGTTGAAACCTCGTACTTAGAGAATTAAAAGAAGATCCTTATATAAGTTATGATAAAATGTTCTTGGTACGTTATCTTCAGGGTCCAATGGGATTAGTTGATATGTCCACGTAAGTGGAAATTTTATGATTGCTCAACCATTTTTATTTTTGTTCTCTTTCCAACTATATGTGAAAAGGCTATTGTTATAAACCACCTATTTCTGGACAAGGATTTCCATGTCAGCAAGATTGCAACACCCATGAAAATTCAGTATTTGGATTGTAACAAGTTGAAGATTGCTGATGTTTGCCATTCCATTACCTTGTAGATTTCCTTCTGCTGTCAAAGCATCAAAGTCTAACAGAAATGAGACAACTCCAGCAAAGGGCTTGTTAACATCATCAAAGCAAAGTCCTCCCCGAGTAGATACTGCTGCTCAATCTCAACCACAAGTTGACTTGGTATCTTGCTAATTTTATGTTAACATCTTCCTGCTTGTCCTTATTTCTACTTCATTCATTGTTTAACTTCATAAGAGCAAAACGTAGCGTGATCACTACCCAATTTTCGTTTGTGTAGAATCTCTCAGCTAAATTATACTCTGCTTTGCGAATGCTTCGAGCTCTTCTTGTGAAGGAAGCAGGGGAAGCAGTCATGGCATACCACATCTTTGGGTGAGTTCTTCCCGTTATGCGAGCCGACTAATCCCAGGACGACCACTTGCTCTGCAGATAGCCCGGAGTCACCGTATTTGAACCTTTGTAGTATATGCAACTTGTACTAGAATGAAGATCCAATTTTGAAACTTCTGAGAAAATCACTTTTATGCCAATTTTGTATCTTTTGTTTCATGATATTCTATTGGCATATTGGATTTGATGATAAAACAACTGTCATCATAGGCTTTTTTCTTCTTCATGATCTAGGAATGCTACCCTACGACATATCAGCGAAAGGATCCCCAGAACTAAAGAGGAGCTTATCGAGATTAATGGCATTGGCAAGTAAGTAGTCCTCCCATTGGTCCCAAAAAAGGGCCTACCTTCGATATTGGATGTAGTTTTTCTTGCCTGGTATTTTTATAGTTATGTACTTGTTTATCAACTCGAATGCAGTCACGAGTCTTTTCTACAGGAAAGAACAACAATTACTCGAGTAGAAAAATTATCATACATAAAACACTACTTGAGTAAGGTGTTTGAGTTCATTTGCTGCATATAAATATTACATATTTGAGAAAAAAAAAGCTATGCGCCCCTAGATTAGCTCCTAATTAGTTTAAATCACTCTTGCACAAACGCTGAGTCTTCACATAAACAACTGCTCTACTTTTTGGGATAGAGGTATGATCTACGTACATGGTATCATCTTATTTCAAGTGTGATTTACCGGGTCAGTTTTTTAATTTTATTTTATGCTTTATATATGTGTTGAGAATAGTAATAAGAAGGTTTAAGACACACAGGGGGAAAGTAAGCAAATATGGGGATCGAGTACTGGAGACGATTGAGAGTAGCCTGAATGAGTACAGCAGCAAAGATGAGTTGATTGTGAGCAGTGGTCCATCAAACAAGAGGGTGTCAAAAGGCTTCTAAAGCTGTTGATGATTGTGTTTCTGGTGTGCATTAGGCATACTAACATTTGTTGTTGTTTGATAGAATAGATTTAGATCTTTATATTTCTTGTGTGGATGTTGTAGGTTTTGTTAGCAAGCAATCTTTAACATTATTTATATATAAAGTGAATTCGTTAAAAGATACTATTAGAAAAGTGAATCTGGCATTTATTTCCCTGAATTATATATATATATGGTTGGGTTCACGTGAGACCAGTCTGTTTTCGTGAGACCCGTGAGACCACATTTTTACACGTAACCTTCACAGCAAAAACACTGTGAAGGTTTAAAAAAAGTCGAACCTTCAAAGCAAAAACACTGTGAAGGTTTTAAAAAGTCACCTTCACAGCATTTTGCTGTGAAGTTTCAAGTGTAAAATGTTGGTCTCACGGGTCTCACAAAAACAGGCTGGTCTCACATGATCCCAAGTCTATATATATATATATATAGGGTTGGGTTCACGTGAGACCAGCTTGTTTTCGTGAGACCCGTGAGACCACATTTTTACACTTCAAACTTCACAGCAAAAACACTGTGAAGGTTTTAAAAAGTCGAACCTTCATGGCAAAAACACTGTGAAGGGCAGCGTCTCAAGACGCACGATAAACTCCGGTTCTGGGAGGCCCATGCCGACCTGTCCTGTGCTTTCTGTCAGAACGGGCCTGATTCGCATTCGCATCTTTTCTTTGAGTGCCCGTTCCCTAATCTGGTCTGGAATGGTTTAACAGCCAAGCTCAACCTCGATGGTGTCCCGGATAACTGGGATGATATTATTGGTTTGTTCCAGCAGGTCACAAAAGGAAAGACCATTTGGTCTATCATTCGTCGCTTAGTGCTTGCTGGGACTGTCTACCACCTGTGGCAAGAAAGAAATAAYCGTATCTTCAAGAGCAAGAGAAGATCGCATATTATGGTTGGTAAGACGATTACTGATGATGTCCGGTCCAGGCTCCTTTGCCTGACCTTTAAGCCCTCCCCTAACGTTGTCCGGGCTCGGCTTGCCTGGAACCTCCCTTAGCCGTCTGTTTTCTTCTGTGCTGCTTTGTCTGCTTTGTGTGAGTTCTTCTGCTCTCCTGGTTTTTCTTGGTGCGGTCTAGGGTGTGCCTTTTTTTAGGCCCCTTTTCTTGCCCCTGTGGTGGTCTTGGCTTGACCGGGCCCCTCCCTTGTGGTCGGCTTCTGTCTCTCTCTCTTTTCCTCTCTCTGCTTCTTTCTCCCTTTTTTCTTCCCTTTTCTCCTCTTCTCCCCTTCTTTCCCTTCTGGGTGCCTTGGATTCTGGTGGATGTGGTTCGCCTCCACCCGAGAGCGTATTTTGTTGTTTTAGTGTTTTTGCCTTGATCTGGAGGGGTCTCCCCCCTCCCTATCAAAAAAACACTGTGAAGGTTCCTTCACAGCATTTTGCTGTGAAGTTTCAAGTGAAAAACTGGTCTCACGGGTCTTACGAAAACAAACTGGTCTCATGTGATCCCAAATATATATATATATATATATATATATATATATATATATATA